GGTCTTATCGCGAGAACCGGTGATGATCTTCGTTCTATGCGTATGTTAGTTAACCAGGCTCTTCCGAAAGAATCCTTGATACTTACTCGTCGAACTGAAGGCAATAGATACTGTCCAGGTGCCCATTCAGATAGACGGGCTTAGCCTTGCCCTCCTTCCATCGCTGGTCGAGCTCCTCCTTGGCCTTGTAGATCTGCTTCCAATCCACGTCTGGGTTAATGGGCGGGACGCCCTGTCCTGTTCCAGGTTGAACGGGGAGACTAGTAGCGTAGGTTCCAGTCTTCTCGCGCAAGAATGACTCTCTCCAGACGTGTTGGTTTTTGACCATTTGCTGCCATTCCCGCGAAACTCTGCTCGCAGCGCCAAGAGCAGTGGCATCCAAATGAGCGAGAACCTGGATCGCCAACTCAACAGGGAGCTGCGCAATAAAGTTGATTCGGCTGATGTTGGCGTCCTGGACCTCCACCTCCACATCGACGTCCGAGTCGACACCAGTAACGGTGATGCCGATGCCGCTCTCGCGATCAGTGAAGTCATCAGAGGAAGCGCGAAGCCACTTGTTCTGGAAAGCCTGGTTTGAGGCAGCGGCAGAAGCCTTGGCAGCGGCGCCTGTGTGAAAAGGGATGATGGGCGGCGCGCTTCCACTCCCAGGGAGTGGCAGGCAGGGGAAGCAGTGATCAGACGCGGAGGCATCGCTTTGTGAGTCGGGGCCATGGGACGTCTTGGAGTGTCGAAAGCTTGTTGCCTGGCGAAGGCGGTGCCAATGGGAGTTGGCATGAGCAGTGCCGGGACGGACATCATTTTGAGGCTCCTCCAAGCCATGAGCACCCCCGATCGAATGTCTCTTGTGATGGTGGACAATGCCCTTCAACGATATGGACGCCCTACGGAACATGCCCTTGATGCTACCATTGCTATTGCCGCCGTTGCCTCCCGCGTGTGCTCCGTGACCGTGCTTCTCAGAGTTCTCGTTGCTAGGGCCGACGTGGCTTCGAGATCGCTCGAGGGAGAGTTCCTCGAGATGGCTCGACAGTTCGGGTTCGATGTGGAAGATGGAGGATTTGCGGCGCCATGGGAGGGAGAGACTCATGCTACGAAGGCGATGTTGCTGGAAAGAAGGTCTGGCGTTGGCGTTCCCATCAAAGGCATCTTCCTGAATGGCGGAAGTGGAGGAGGGCTCGTCGTAGATAGCCTCCTGGGCCGGAGCCCAATCGGAGAGGATTTGGATGCGTGCAGACATGCTGTAGATGCGTACGTCGACGTCGACGCTGGCGACAGTCGCCTAGATACCAGAACTAGAGGTCGAGATGGATCTTCTCTAGCTGACCTTGCAGACGAGACGACAAGGAAGGGTCCGGGGACGTGGAAGAGAAAGGGGAGGTCGAAACGGATTCGTGGGGAAGCGAACAAAGCACAAATACCTAGGGATCATCACATGGTCAGTGGGAGGTTTGAAGGGTTTAAGGGAATAGGTAAGAGAGGGAGATGGGTAGTTCGAGGAGGTACGGAGGGTCTTGTCTCGGTTCCATACCTTCAGTCCTAGCTTCTTCTCCCTTTTTTGCTTCTTTTCCCCCTTCCTAAACCTGACTCTATCTGGCGCGCCGGGAAGTTGTACACTCGCAGGACGGGAATGTCTCGGACTTCCCAGCTAAAGGCTTGGAGCCACTGCAGGGTGGACAATGGGTGGATAAGCAGGTGGCGGCCAGTAAGGAGACGGTTGGGCGGAAGTTTTGGAGATTTTCGGGTGTGGTTCAAAGATATTGAGACAGAGAGCGAGATGGGCTGCAGCAGCCGTGAACGGGGTTGAGTTGCAGTGCAGGCGGAGGGCGGCAGTGGAAAGCTGAACCACGGGAGTCGGCCGGTGGCCCCTGGGGCTCTTTGGGGACTGAAAGGCAGGGCGAGCAAGCCGCGACAGGAAGAGTTGGTGAGGGTCCTGGGGACGGTTTGTTTGGGGGTTGCTGGAGACGACCTATTCAGGCCTAGGGGCGTCGAAATGTCAGGGTCGAAGGGTGTTCGTCCCCCCGGCTGGCCCTTCTTCTCTCTATGGATTTTCAAGGGTCCGTCCTCCTTGGGTGGTGGGAAGAGGGATCGGCTTCCTGGGGTTACCGGATCGGGTCTGGATTCGTCTGCGGGAAATAGGGTGGTGGACACACTACCGGGCAGAACGCGCCGCCACCCAGCGAGTCTTTCCGTGCTAGGTTTCTCGTCGAAGTACGGATAGAGGTGAAAGATGAGGGTGAGGACGGTGACGGTAACACGAAGACAGAGATGAATGAAGGAGGTCGAAGTTGGCAGACAGGTCCGATGACCTTGGAGCAGTTGGGCAGAAGCGTCAGGTAGGTATTCGTGCGGTGCCTAATGAGCAAGTGAGCATCTGCCCGTCGAGCTGTGGGTGCCGTGGTGCCCTGGCGTGTCCTGGTGTGTGCCCGGGTGTGGGAGCGCGAGTCAACAAAGAAAGGGAAGAGAAGAAGAAAGAAAAAGAGGGCGACAGTGCAGATCTCCAGCCAAGTGCGAGCCTCGGGTTTGTGTAATGACTGGCGGCGACTAGTCTTTTGTGGTTGTTGGGCGACGGTTTCGAGTAATGTTGATGTAAATCTCAAGCCGGCGATGGGAAGGGCAAAGAAAAGTCCCGGTCCTTCCCCTCTGGTACCGAGTGCGGTACGTACTTGTATCCAGGTATTTCTTGGGTCTTGGGGAACGGGAAAGCCGCCTTTGCAAGATTCACCTACTTAGGTATCACACTCCCTCAGTTAGGTACTTTACTGTTTCTCAGATCTGTGAACCGGGAAGAAGCAGCGATGCCAGAGGTCAATACGGAACGAGTTGACGGCCGTTGAAAAGAACAACAACGGAAGCGAGATCGCCAGATTGGCGCTGACAGGTGCGAGAACGGTGCGTAGAAGAAGAGATGGAAACTAGGAGCCGGCAAGTATTCGTAGGTACACACACCCACAGGAACGAGAAAGGATGAAAGACGGCCTGGCCGATAGGTATGGGCTTACCACTGTCAGGCTTCACCTCAATTTGCTGTGAAGGTACTAGTGCTGGCGAGAAGTAGTTGAACGTGCGCCACGCCTGTTGCAGATTGCACGGGGTAGCCCGGGGAACCGAGTCGTCTTTGTGCGATCCGGATGGTTTTGTATACTTTGGTAGGTAAGTCGTAGGTGTTCAAATGATCAAACAGTGGGAGTTAATCCCAGTGGACAAAGAGGAAGCACAGCAGAAGAAGGTATCCCGTGACAATTCAACATCATGTGGGCATGGGATGATAGAGGAGTGACCGCGATACTTGAAGTCAGTGTGCCAGGTCAAGAATACCGACTCTACCACATCAACATGCGCCGTTGTTGCTGTTGACATTCATCACACAGCGTCGCAATGTTTACATTCCGAATGGGCAAGCCATTCTCGAAATCCCGAACCGCCGCCTCATCTCGTAAGGTTGGCTGCAACCACAATGAAATTGCAGCGTGGCAGGCCTCGCGGACGCCGTGGCGGAAGTACCTACGGAGGTACCTACGGTACCAGGGCTGTCAAACAGCAGAAGGGGGCAAAGGTATCGGTACTTGGTGTTTCGGATTTTCGAGCCACTGAGCTGCGAAACTTGTCTCTATCCCGGTGACTAGAGACGTATTCGATACTTCTGGTAAAAATACCAATTCTCGCTACCCTCCATCTTCTCCCATCCCGAAATCCCATTCCCATTTACAAAACTTAGTACCGTGGGCAGCCAGCTGGTATCATTGAATTCCCACTTGCAGGCAGGTCGCAGCATCTGCCTCGATAGTGTCCAACTTCCCGGGGTCTCGGTCCCTGAATGCAAATACCCTGGAAATCCCACCCTTCCCGCATCGCATCCTTCAGGCTAGGCCGCCTGCAACCCTGTAAGCGGAGATCCAAAGTCAATTTCCGATGTTTCCTCTCTTGCAAACTCTGGTCTGGTCAACAGTTCTTTGTGTTTAACCTGGTGTCAGAGACAGCGGCATCCATTTGTGTGTGCCTCTTCGAGGTCGCAAGACGACGATAATCCAGAGGATCATATCTACAGATAGTCAAACATCAGCTTCGGCAATTGCCCTTACCCATTCCAGTCCAGAGACGACTCATCCTTTGACCCAGCATGGCGGACGTCGTTGGCATTGTGGCAACCAGGCTCTGAGACCTTTACAATCGGAAATTGGCTGTCACACTCTTATGCAGCCGACGAATGAAGGGCAACGTTCCGTCCATCCACCGTCACATCTCACCGGTGCCTTACCGCCTGCTCCTATTGTTCTTCTGCCACTATGTGCCTAGTAGAGTACCCGAGTATTGCCATGAAGGTCTCACCTCTACCATGGCGGTGGGCTCCCTTGGCCGAGCGCTGCATTGTCAGATGCGTCTAAAACACAAAGACGGCGCGGATAAGCGAGCGCCTGGGAAACTCTTCATCTCAAGGATAAAGTTTCGGAAATGAGAGTAAATCACAGCCATATCCTCCTCGTCAGGGATGATTTTGTGACTTTTCGCTTCCCCAGATTCTCTCGACATGAAGGTGAGCTACCTTTCGTGTTAGATCGTGAGCTTCCTGGACCAAGTCACAACTTAATACAGAGCGTTGAGCTATACATTAGATCCGTAGAAGATGATCGTCCCAATGATGGGCGGTATGATAAGCTTCTACGGTGACCTGTGATCGTCGACCTTGAAGCAGCAATGTAGCATCATGAGATCGCAAATTCCCATCTGAATTGCGTTTGGGGCACGGGCCATTTACACTTACCTTCGGCTCCGGCGCGTTGAGCCCCGGTCATCCGGAGCTCAAGTTTTTCCTTGCTCCTGCCGATGACGAGAGGCCCAGTCCATCAGGGTGCCCGTCACGCCAGAATCTCCAGCGATGAGACGAAACCGCCCTGACGTCCCCTCTCAGTTCTCCAAGCTTCTCTCTCCATAATTCCTGACAAGAAATTGACCTTCTTGTTCTCTCGTCGACGACATATCACTCTCAAGAAGCTGCAAAGATGCCGCCCAAACCTGCTCAATTCGGCAGAATAGGCCTCGTCATTCCGCTCTTCTACCGCGTCTTCTTCCTAGGCATCGAGCCCATCTCTGCTCTTGTCGGTGCCTATTACGCACACGTGCGACCCGACGACTATCTCCAGCTCACTCACGCCGTCTCAAAACCCGAAGTCATTCCCCAAGGAACCTCGATCGTCCTCTCCCAGCTCGCCAACCTATACCTGCTCTTTGCTCTCAATGAAGCCCTCGTTCTTCGCGCCACATCAGACCTGCGCGTCTGGAAGACCGTCCTGTTCGTGCTCCTTGTAGCCGACTTTGGACACTTGTACACAGTTCGAAGCTTAGGGCCAGAGGTGTACTACAACTTCGCCAAGTGGAACGCCATCGACTGGGGAAATGTCCCGTTCGTATACTTTGGTGCCTCGATGAGGGTCGCATTTCTGGCCGGCGTCGGATTAAGCGGGCGACCGGCACCTACAAGAAAGCAACAGTAGAGCATGGGGGAGTTCGCCAAGCTCAAATAGCCTACCCGGCCGGGATGTTGCTTACGCGCCGGAGAACCGCCCGATCATTGCACCGAGCCCGAGTCGCCGATGTTCGGTCCGCATAGAACCGCGACCGAAAGTGAAAGTTCTGGGAGACGAACTGAGGAAAAGGCGCCGGTGGCAAGGGGGGAAGAGGAAATAATGGCGAACGGAAGAGACAGTCCAAGCGAAGGCTGGGACAACCCCGAGCCAGTACCGACATGTTGAACTGGTCACTCACCCTGTCGGCGTTACGCATACCTCGATTAGCTACAGCGCGATGAAAGCATCGAACCAGTACGCATGCCCAGACTGGATGGTTGGCTAGGGACATTTGCACGGCACACATGCACTCGGAGACATTTGCCGAGATACAGCGAAGAAGGGAGTTCAGACATCCAGTGCAGCGAGGTTGGCCCCTCGACGAAGAATTTTTGGTCCAGGCCAAGCCCGATGTTATCTGTGATCGTGGAGTTCCCATCCGCCGTCAAACGTCGAAGAGGGGATCTCTTCCCTCTGTATGGTGGGATTTTCGGCAGCCGGTCTCGGAAAATCCTCCGGACAATTTTCCTTCCCCAACTCCCGGAGGAGCCACCTCAAATCGAGTGGGTTTTGGGGTGCAATTGGCGGGCAACGGTGGGGTATCATCGCGGGGCAGCGCGACACGATGAATGGGAGGGCGGGTGAGTGTAAGAAAGTGACGAAGAAGGATGCGAGCTCGACAGGCTTACAGCAGAGATAATTGAACGGCAATCACGACAATAACGGATTCGATTTCGAGAAACATGTTCTTTCTTATGCAGTCCCTTTACGAACACAGCCATCTGCGACGGACGGACGGATGAGGGAAGGAAGTCAATGGCGCAAGATTGTGGAAGAATCGAATGAGAGGGCCATCATTTGCTTCCAACAAGCGCCTAGCCTCGAGCAAGGGTCCTGCCCCCATCTAGCTCCCATGGGCAGACATTGCGGCGCGACATAAGCCCCTCCTCGACCGAGCTGGGAGGTGCCCCTCACTCAAGGATGGATGTCCTACGCTCCACGCGCAGCGCCGCGACAAACGAGATGGTGGGGGGTTTCGGGAGAAGCTCTGAAAATGGTCAGGGTATTTCATCCGGCGCGGTTCCCTCTGCCCGTTGTGAGCAGCGTCCGAGCCTTTCTCCTCTTCCTCCTTCTCTTCCTCTTCTCTCGTGCCATCCGAACACTTCCTGTAATCAAATCGAGGTCGTATCTCGAGAGTAGCCAGACGAATCTACAAGACAGCTCCTCACTCACACTCAACTATCCATCATGTCGATTCCCGAGAAGTTCACCGGCTTCCAGGTCAACAGTGCCGAGACCTGGCAAGACTTCAAGAAGCAGGAGTTTGACCCCAAGCCGTTTGGTGACTACGACGTCGATATTAAGATTGAGTGCTGCGGTGTTTGTGCCAGTGATGTTCACACCATCAAGGGTGACTGGGGTGCTCAGCCCTATCCTCTGGCGGTTGGTCACGGTGAGTCCATGTGTCTACTGCGTAGTTGTGACCTGCTGGCTAACTCCGCTATGTCTAGAAATCGTCGGAAAGGCTTTGAGAGTCGGCTCCAAGGTCACCAAGATCAAGGAGGGCTCGCGTGTTGGTGTTGGAGCTCAATCCTACGCCTGCCTCGAGTGCCGTCAGTGCAAGAACGACAACGAGACATACTGCAAGCACCAGCTCGACACCTACGGCTCTACATTCCCCGACTCCGGCGCCATCTCCCAGGGCGGATACTCCTCCCACGTCCGCACACACGAGCACTGGTACGTGTGTTTGCTACTCTCGAAATGAGATGCATGCTAATCAAGTAACAGGGTTTTCCCCATCCCCGAAGCCCTCCCCAGCACCATCGCTGCTCCTATGCTCTGCGCTGGCCTGACAGCTTACAGCCCTCTGATCAGAAACGGATGTGGCCCTGGCAAGAAGGTCGGCATTGTCGGCATTGGCGGCATCGGTCACTTTGGTGTCATGTTCGCCAAGGCTCTGGGTGCTGAGGTCTGGGCCATTTCCCGTTCGCGATCCAAGGAGGCGGACTCTTTGAAGATGGGTGCCGATGGCTACCTGGCGAGCGGCGAGAAGGGTTGGAACGAGCCCCACAAGATGACTTTTGACCTTATTCTTAACACGGCCAACTCATTCGAGGGCTTCGACCTCTCTGCCTACCTTAGCCTTCTCGACGTCCACGGCAAGTGGGTGTCTGTCGGTCTCCCCGGTGGTGGTGGCATCACTGTTCGCAACCAGGACTTCCTCCCCAACGGCTGCTTCATTGGCAGCTCCCACTTGGGTAGCAGACGCGAGACGCTGGAGATGTTGCAGCTTGCTGCCGACAAGGGCATCAAGACATGGGTGCAGGAGGTTCCCATCAGCGCCGATGGTTTGAGGTCGGCGATGAACGGCATTGAGGATTCCAGTGTCCGCTACAGATACTGCCTGACCAACTACGAGGAGGCATTTGGCCAGTAGGCATAAGGACTGCATGGGTGCGATGTGAATAGCGAAGCAGAAGAATACCATTTAATGACCATCTACAATTGCGTATCAGTTGGATCTCTTTCTTGGAAGACGCACTCATCACATCAGTGAATTATCGAATGTCCCTGCTTCATCATGTGTCAGTGTCGCGGCAGAATGCGACCTCATCGAAGAGTTCCGCCATTCCGGATGCTCATTTTCCGGGCGCATTTGTAAGTTATTCCCTTTCATCTTCTTTTGCTGGGTACCTAAATAGCCCGGTGTGCCCGGCGCGACCGGTGCGATCGCCGGTCATCGGCAACACAAACAAGGTTCCGCGGGGAGAGACAATGACCGACAGGGGTCTGAGGAGCTCAGCCATTGCGGCTGTGTGCGGTGACATCCCAAGCCGCCCGAGGAGACCGGGGTCTCGGCAAGGTGACATGACTGATCTGATCGATTGATCTGGGGAAAACGTCTAGCGTCTTCAATCCAACTTCGTCCATCAACCACATTGTTTGTTTTATCCAAAAGCTCTTCATTCGTTACACTGGGGAATCCGCCGGACGGCAGTGGATGATGCTGTGTTTGGGTTGAAAGGAAACAGAGAGAAACATTGACATCATGAGCGCTTACCTGGACGCCAGCAATGGCCCGCCGGCGGATGATTCGATGCCCAGCTATGAGGAGGCGGTCGCCGGGGGGTGCGTTTTCTTTGCTTGACATTTACGCACATGATCCGCAACAGTTCAACATCACTCAAGATATGCATAGATAACTGACCATATTTACAGCGCGCAGCGGAATGCAGTGAGGACACACTCCGTCTCGGGATCAATACAATCCCTCAACCTTCACGACGGCACCCTCCCACCATCAATTCTGCGCCTCAAGCACCTCGGCCGCGCAATCTGCCTTAACGGCCCCGTCACCTCCATCGCCATCAGTCCAAAAGGCTACGTCGCCACATCGCAAGACAACTCGGGCACCGCGCTTCCCTCCAGCACTAAGATTTGGGACTTTCCCCAGAAGCCCGGCGCCGTGGGCGCGCGCCTCGTGCCGTCTGACATCAGCAGCGACGCGCCTGTGGTCATCTTCAGCCCGGATGGAAAACTGACGGCGGTGGTGGAGAAGGATGCAGGATGGAAGCGGGAGTGGCGGGTGAAGCTCCGCGCCGGGGAGGAAGGGCGGGGGGTGCGGTGCGCGTTGAACGGTGTCGGGCATCCCGCGGCGTTTAGCCCCGACGGGAAGAAGTTTGCGGCGGCGGATCCGTTGGGCGTTGTTGTTGTGTTTGAGGCGGCGACGAGTCCGCCGGGGATGCCACCTACGAAGAAGGTGGCGGGTGTGATGAACCATGCTGCGCCGGCGCATGTTCTCTTTATGCCGAACGGTGCGGACCTCGTGACGCTGTCGAGGGACGGGACGGTGAGGATATCGGAGGCCAAGACGGGGAGGACGCTACGGCGGATGGAGGTGGATGGGGTTGTGACGGGGACGGGGACGGGGGCGCGGGCGTTGGGGGCGTCGCCGGATGGGAGGGTGGTTGTGTCGGTGTGGGCGAGGGCCGTGTATGTGTGGGAGCATGAGGCAGGGCGGGTATCGAGCTGGGAGATGAACAAAGTGCGGAACAACGAGGGGTGGCCGCTGGCGGTGTCGCCGGATTGTCGGTTCCTGGCGTGTCGGACAGAGGAGGGGATGGATATCTCGGATGTGTACTCTGGACAGGTTCTGGCTGAAGTGACGACCGCGGTGGGGATTGATGGGCTAGTGACGGCGGCGGCCTTCTCGATGGATGGGAAGATGATGGCTGTTGGGAGGCATAGTGGTGTTGTTGATGTGTGGAACTTGGCGCCCTATGAAGGATTATGATGATGGGAGTTTGTGTTTTGTCTTGATCTGCTTATGACGATGCGGGAGGGAATGTTTTTCTGTTGGATTCATGTGGGAATAGCGATGAATCAGGCAAAAGTGCTATCTTCATGTTCAAAAGTTACGGGAAACAAGGGAGATTACATTTACAGATGTTGATTCAGGCATCTCATAAGCCTATCTCAGGGAGCATATTACGGAGCCTCAACCCAAAGGTATTGGTCTCATGACTTATCACCAGGGCATTGGATTTCCTCTAGAAACCCCCAAAGGCGTTTCGCCGAAAAGCAGTGACCAAATTGGACTCGCTCCCATGTTTTGCATTATGTCGTCTCTTATTGTAGAAGTCAATTGGGACGGGATCTCCTAGTTCGGACGAATACGGTTGGATTGTTATCAGCATCTCTGGTTATTTCAATCATTGAAGGGATGGTATTTTTGTCATGAATACCACTTGATAGTTCGTCAATCGTCTTATGAAACTGGAAATCGAAACGAGCTCCCAGAACGAATGCGACATGTGAATGAATTTCAAATATCGTGCCTGGGCTGCATGTTTAGTTTGAGAGAATAGGAAGGTAAACATACTTCCTGCTTTCGATTAGGCTGTAAGCCGTGTGCTCGCGTGACTCTGTCCGCGACCAGCCGAGCACAAACACGTCCAGTGCCGTCTGAGCGAACAAAGGTTGCGGAGGTGACAAATGGAGTCATAAGTCGAGGCTTGATGACCAATGTTTGGATATTGAGCCACCTGCCCCAAAGTCTGTTCATTGCGCCCAACGCTCCCTATAGTAATCACGCCTTTGTGTGCATTATGGCATTTGCTGGTCGTAAGAGCCGAAGCTGATATCAATGGCATTTCAAAACGCGAATATATGCTAAGTCTTGACGCCGTAATAGAACATCGCGTTTCATCTCAACCCTTATGTAACTCATCTCATGATCAAATTCATTCCAGATCTTGAATGAGTTGCCTTAGTGAGTGAGTACCTTACATGAGTGAGTGAGTGAGTAAGTGAGGATGAGAACTCGGCGATTACGATTGAGAAATGGCCCAAGCTTTTCGACCGTGCCCCTCATCCCAAAAGGGGATAGTGCGGGGTCCAAGGCTCGCGCAACATTTCAGAGTCAGTCTGGTAGGTAGGTGCGACTCACACTTGGCAGTGGCAGTTGCCCTGGGCAGTGGGGGACGTACCTCACCGTGGGCGCAATTGCACACCGTGCCGCCTGACTCCCTTCCCCGAGAAAGTCGGCATCTCAAGTTTCCATTCTTTCTTTTCCTCTCTTCCTCCTCTCCGCCTCTCCTCTCGACACACAGCAAACAATCACATCATGGCGCCGAATCCCA